TATACTTTGAACTCCTTTAAAATCCCAAGTCAGGCTTGAGGAGCCATCTTTTTTACTGTACATAGAAATGAATCAGGAAAGCTACAATTGCATCCATAGAAGTCATTCCTGTGAGTCAGGCTGGGAAGGAATTGCTTCATCCTATATTTGAACAGGAGTTGCTTGCAGCCCTGTCCTAGCATGTGATCTCCATTAATTTTCAGGAACAGAAATATTTATGGTATTTCCTCTAACACATTTCAACCCTTGGACTATTTTCCACTATACTCCCCTTCCCCCATATTATTTTAAACTGTTCAAAGTAGTCACAGTGGAGAATGCAGCTCTCCAAGCTCAACATTCACTTCTACACAGAGTAACAGAGTAGGTGTTCAGAGGTGATCTATCAAGATACACCAATACAATTTTTTTTATCAATTCTTTAATAAAATCCTAACACCAGGGTCCTTTTACTTGAAAACCTGACTCATTGACAATAAGAAATGTCATGTTTTTGCCGTTTCGTTCTACTGAAATGCCTTACTCATCCCAACAGAATGGTAGTATCAGTGCTATAACCATTTGCATTCATGTATCATTTCTCACGTTCCATATATAATATTAATTGCAAATATTGCAAGGCATTTCTAAAGGATGATGAGTTAATGCATATGGGTGCCTAGCCCTGTTTAATGTGCATGCCATGTTCATATCTGGATTAGTTTTTGGCTAGGATTCAGGTTCAAGAATCAGTTGGGTCTAGAACAAAAGTTTGGATTTGGAATCAATAACTTAAGAATCTCACATGTTTCTTATGGAAATTAAACTCAAGGTGGCAGAAATCTTATGAGAGCACCTGGTTTCCATGATTTCTGTTATCTTGAAAGATGGAAATGTACTAATTCTAACATTTCTGCTAAACACTTGGCTAGAAAACAAACCACTTTCATATTTTGAATTTACCTCAAGCCTGAACTGTAAAGATGGCATGGAGCTGAGATTTCACCAGAATTCAAAAGGAAAGATGGGACATTCCCATGTCAGCCCCTCTTTAATATAAACAGATCATTTGTAGTCCTGATGAAAAACACAGGTAATAAATAAGTTACAGTGAAATCTCTGTGAACTTTAGTGTTCAATATATAATTGCTGCTTGGCCCTGACTTATTGTTGCCTCTTACACATTTATTTCTCTTGATCACAGGGACCTACAGGAACTTGATGACAGCACCCAGCTACCTTTACTCTGTCATTTCTCAGAAACAGCTGAAGGACTCACCACTATTAGAGCATTTAGGTTTGTAGACATGCACTTCCTGCTCAGGTTCTAAGCCCTCAAAACATCATCTAGAAATCACATCACGTGAGGACAAGTTTGGGGGTGGAAAGTGGGGGAGAAATACATTCTTTTGTTAAGTAAGCAGCTTTTCTTGGCCTAATTGGTACCTTATAGTAGAAACAGGTGGAACATGGCAAAACTGAAGCAACTGAGGAATGAATTAGAGTGACACTGCAGTGTTATTTAATGGTTGGAGCAGGACTCCCTATTCTGTTCTGGACTCAGTATGTGACTTTGAACTATTTGCTAGACTTTGTTGTGTTTTAAAACATTTCAAAATGGGGGGGGGGGCAACACTTCCTTCATAAATCCAGGGGTCAACAATGTCTTCCAGCAGGGGACCAAAATGATCCAGCTCAGGTCTGAGAAGGACAGGGACTAGGACACTTTTGTCTCCGAAGCTTCTTCCTGATGCCTGGCTACAGTGTGAGAGGCACAGGCAGAGCATCCCCTCCACCAAAGGCCCTGGTGCTCACTGGGCATGTTTATTAATGCACTTTAAGTAATGCTAGATTTAATTTGTATCTCCATTGTAAGATACTAGAAAAATACGCATTAGCCTATTTTAATGAGCATTAGCTAAAGAGCACTTTTTTGGGTACCTATACATGAGCCAAGAGGCTGCTCTTTTGCGCTGTGGTTACATGTAATTACAGCATGTCACAGCAGACTTGATTGCTTGAGTATGCTGAAGTATGTTAATTACTGCACTACAGCCAGCTCTGTGTCTTGCGTATCAGTGTCTCTGTGCTCATTCGAGTTTTAGATAAAGCACTCCCACCACCATTTTGAAGCACGGAGACTCTGGGCGATTTAATTAAAGTGGCTCTCAGAGCTGCTCCAATTAAAGCA